CGGGTTAACCATGCTTTGTATAGTCTTGTTGACTTGATTGAGGTATGAGTTACATGTTTTCTTTTGGCATCATTAGTTGCCCCCTAGCCCCAAGCATGGATCGTCTTGAGCTAACCAATTGGTTGGGGCTAAGCAACGAAGATCACAGTTGTGTTGTTGTGTTCCTAGAAAGGCATGTAACTAAAAAGACATGATTCAAACATTTCTCTGCAAACGTGGTACGCACTTGGCAACTTGATTCCATGGATGCGCCTATCGTATGATGCCACGTAGCCACGTGAACAGACACATTAATTGCGCTACATGTGCATTAAATGCACATGAGGACAAAAACTTGCCAAATCTCAAAACCTATTTAAAGTCTCCTTCCTTCATTGTGGCACCTCACTTTGCCTTCACTAGTTTCCTCAAAGTTCCACAGAGAGAGAGAGAGAGAGATTGATTCAGAGAAACTAGAGGGTTGTGCCTAGCTCTCCATCAATCTTCTCATTAGTGTTGTATACCCTCATTGGTTCTAAGGGTCAATTAGATCTCCCCTTAGGAATGTCCCTTTCCCTNGGATATACCATTATAATGGAAACTCTTACTCATATGATTTTTATATTGCTTGAGGGAGAAGAAGGTTACACTTGAGGTAATCAATTGCTCATCATATGGCAAGGTAGTGACTCACCTATTTGTACACAAGGGTGGTGTGGTTCTCACAACCATGATGGTGCTATCCTCTCGATCTGTTAGAATATTTGAGGAAATATTTAGTTGTTAGAGACTCTCTCCTGTAGGTGTGACTTGGCCTCCTAGAAACGATTACATGGCATTCTAGCATTGATAACTTCTTACTCAATGTAGGGTTTGGTACTCTAATTCCTCTTCTGACCTCTTATTGTGATTGTCGAGCTGGTTTGTGTCTTAGCTGAACTGGATCCTTATTGGTTAGGTCGGCCAAGCTTCAATCGGGTTAACCATGCTTTGTATAGTCTTGTTGACTTGATTGAGGTATGAGTTACATGTTTTCTTTTGGCATCATTAGTTGCCCCCTAGCCCCAAGCATGGATCGTCTTGAGCTAACCAATTGGTTGGGGCTAAGCAACGAAGATCACAGTTGTGTTGTTGTGTTCCTAGAAAGGCATGTAACTAAAAAGACATGATTCAAACATTTCTCTGCAAACGTGGTACGCACTTGGCAACTTGATTCCATGGATGCGCCTATCGTATGATGCCACGTAGCCACGTGAACAGACACATTAATTGCGCTACATGTGCATTAAATGCACATGAGGACAAAAACTTGCCAAATCTCAAAACCTATTTAAAGTCTCCTTCCTTCATTGTGGCACCTCACTTTGCCTTCACTAGTTTCCTCAAAGTTCCACAGAGAGAGAGAGACATTGATTCAGAGAAACTAGAGGGTTGTGCTTAGCTCTCCATCAATCTTCTCATTAGTGTTGTGTACCCTCATTGGTTCTAAGGGTCAATTAGATCTCCCCTTAGGAATGTCCCTTTCCCTTCTCCTTCAGCCTAATTTGATCTTTGGTGGTTGTCTCAGGGACTACACTTTTTGGTCTTTAGGTTTTGTTACTTCAAAAGTTTCAATAGTTCCTTAGGGTTTGTTCCCTTTTTCATTTACTCCTCATCTGTAGTGACGATTGCCCTCATTTGAGATTGGTACCTTGATCCTAGAGCAATTAAAGATTGTTCTTTGAATCTCTCAAAGTTGTATGCTCAAAGGCTTATATCCCTTTTTCTATGTATATTTAACTATGACCCTTTATTCTACCTAGTAGGGTACATACAGAATTCTTAGGCTTAACGGTTAGGTTTGATTTGGGCATATATATGAGATGAAGCGCACTCAAAGACAAGGTTGGATATACTCTTGTTAAGTCATAGTGGGCAAACACCAGAATATAGTATGGAGAGATTAAGACGACTCTCTTACAGAAACTTAGTAAGCCTAAAACTAGGTTGAGCTATGAAACCCTTCATTCAGTTGGGGCGCAAGTCTTGAACCTTATACAAGGTGCAGGATGTGCTTATTCCCTTTATAGCGGCTTCTGGTTTTCACATAAATATTGTAATAAGTTATATCTCTTTAACTCTATTTTTGCTAACGAATACTAGAATTGGGATATGGAGAAAGAGGGCAGATCATAGAGGGTTCAACAAAGAAAAATAAAAAAAAATGAATGCACTAATGCTAAATGGCACGCAACTCATTACTTGTTGCTTTTAAGCCCTTGCCTCCCTCATAGTCTAACTACTTTGCCTCTCCTCGATCTCTAGAATGTTTGGGGGAGACTCTCCTTAACCTAAGGTTAGCTCGTCTCATCTGGTGGTAATTTCAGCATAGAGGGTGTCTTAAGGGATGAACAACCCTTAGTAGTTGTTTATTTCGAGGAGATAGCTCCTTACTAGTCCAAGGAGATTGTCAATCCTGAGAAGGATCATGGAAGGGCTACCAAGAAAAGATTAAAGAAACCATCACTTGGTGCCTCTTCTTTATCTGGGGCTGGTCCTTCTATAAAGAAAAAGGTTCCTCGTGGCTTGGATGACCTGACCTTTCAGTGCCACCCTGATGCGCAGTAGCCAATAGGGTTGTCGAAGCCCAAGTTGAGGCCAACAAGGAACAATATGGGTTCCCTGATGGTGTGGTTGCCCATGCTCCTGCTTGGGATGAATGTTGCAACATCTATTACTATAGGAAGTTTTATTTTTTTAGGCTGCCTTCGAGGTTGGTTTGAGATTTTCAATGCAGCCATTCATCTGAGCTATCCTTTGTCACTCCAATTTATGTCCTTCTAGAGTGTATCCTATTGGTTGGGATTTGCTAGTGGGTCTACTTGTTCTATGGTATGAAAGTGGTATAGGGTCTTCCCCTATAGTCCCAGAGTTTCTCCATTTTTTCCACTTGAAGTCCTCCCTAGCTAAGGACTTTTTTATTTCGCAAAAAAGTCCCAAGGTGAAAGATCTATTAGTCGATCCTCCTTATTCGTGTCCAAGGAAGCCTAAGAATTTGAAGGGGAAGTCAGTGAATACCTTTAGATTCCTCAGTTTTGGGAAGCCCCAACCAATGCAAGTAAGTCTCTGTTTGTTGTTATTCTAGTTGTAGCTCATGTTTTCCCTTTCTTCTTGAATTTGACTAGATTGTGTTGTTTTTACAAGGTTCATGCTTGCTTTGGATAGATATGAGTTGCTGAAGCTAAGGGATATGTTATAGGCAGAGGGACAGTCCACAACCTAGAAGTCCACCAAGTAGGTAACACAGTGAGGAAGTTGTGACCTAGTTGAACGAGGATACTTCCAATGTTGTTGGGGAAGGTATTCTTCCTGTNCAGAGGGACAGTCCACAACCTAGAAGTCCACCAAGTAGGTAACACGGTGGGGAAGGTGTGACCTAGTTGAACGAGGATACTTCCAATGTTGTTGGGGAAGGTATTCTTCCTGTATATAATTCTTGGGCATGCATTTTATTTGATCATGGTGCTACACATTGTTGCATACACAAAACATATTCAATTGCTTTAGGTTTGATGTTTGAAAATTTGGATCATTCTTTGAGTGTGGATTTGCCTACAGAGGAACTTAAGGAAATGATAGATGTATTTAAAAGTTTTGTGCTCTAGATTGGGGAGCAAAAATTGATTGTAGATTTAGTGGCATTAGAACTAAAGGGGTATGATGTGATCTTTGGNTATTCAATTGCTTTAGGTTTGATGTTTGAAAATTTGGATCATTCTTTGAGTGTGGATTTGCCTACAGAGGAACTTAGGGAAATGATAGATGTATTTAAAAGTTTTGTGCTCTAGATTGGGGAGCAAAAATTGATTGTAGATTTAGTGGCATTAGAACTAAAGGGGTATGATGTGATCTTTGGTATGGACTTATTACCTGCCTACCCTGTTGTTATGAATTGTTATCAAAAATGGTTGGTATTCCATTTTTCGGGAGGGATAGTATTCGGTTTTACCATTGAGAAAAATTCCTCTCACGCGTTCCCTACTTTGGGTAGTCGTGTTTTAAAAGCTAAGACGGGTAGTAATTTGAGTTTCTTAGCTAGTCTGCTAGGAGATGAACGTGATAAAATATAGATTGACTTTATTCTTTTGCTGTTCGACTTTCCTGATGTATTCCTTTAGGAACTACATGGACTACCCCCATGAAGAAAAGTAGAGTTCACTATTGACTTGCACCAAAGTACTGAGCCAATAGCCATTGCCCCTTACTGTTTGGCACCATTAGATTCAACTGCCTTCCATTTGGTTTATCCATGCGAGTACTTTGCTTTGGGATGCACCAGTCCTCTTTATGACGAAGTAAAATGAGACTCTCAAATCGTGTATTAATTTTATGAAACTTAATTGGGTGACGGTAAAAAGAAAATACCCTTTACCTCGTATTGATGACCTGTTTGATCAGCTGATGGGTTCAAAATACTATTATAAGCTTGTCCTTCATAATAGGTATCACCAATTGAGAATCAATGAAGAGGATATCCCAAGGCGACCTTTCCACACAGAGAAAACGTCTATAAAAGGGTAGCAGTGAGAATTGTGTGGAGCAAAAGAGAAAGGGAGAGAGAAAGTGTGCGCGTGTGAGAGAGAGAGAGAAGCAATTAAGGGGCTTGTTGTTCAAAGAGTAAGCTAGCATAAGAAAGTTGCAAAAGAGTGATTGTGGGGGTGTATGCAAGAAATACTCCGGTGTAAAATGGAGAAGGAAAATTATAGAGTAACATTCGGCTAGAGGATCGAATGGAAAAACCATTTTTTTTTATGAAATTTTAGAGTGTAATCCCTAGCAAGTAACTCTTCACGACCATTAATGTCAATCTTGGAGAAGTCTCTCTTCATGAGGCGTTGTTACTTGATCCAAAAAAAATTATTTTGCCTTAAATAGTTCGGTCGAAGATGGTTTATTGAATTGACTAACAAAAGTAGTCATTTGAATCTCACTTCACTAGGGCATTTCTTAAAAAAGAAAAAAGAAACCCTAGTTAACTCACGTAAAGAGAGTGTGATTATAATGGGGCCAATCAATTCGCAGAAATGCATTTACATTATTATAGAACTTTGAGATAAATAACTGTGTATTTAAATACAAATTCAAAGCCGTTTCAAATATGTACATTATCTTTCTCCTCTTTGTTCTGGTGTCAACCCTCCCTTTCCACATTTGGGACAGCTTTTTAATCCAAATCCTTGACAATCAAAACATCTACAATTATTCAAATCGAATTAATTCAGAGTGACAAACAAAAAATACAAAAATTTCTTCACATTTAGAAAATACATTTAAATTGTTTTCCTTGTAAGAAGTGGAAAACTTACTTCCAACGCTCGAAGATATTCCCATTCTTTTTATTCTTCCCTGTTCCCTGATGCAGCAAAAAACTCATCTTAGTAATTGTATAATCGACATTAATGTAAACATTCTAATGCTTGATAGCTAGTAGTTTAGGCACCATTCAATAACTATATCCTGAATTGATTTTATGTTTTCCAAGCAAAAAAAAAGTAAAAAAAACCCAAAAGTGAATGCTTATGTTCCGTCAAAAAATATGTTTGAATTAAAACAAATCAAAAATTATATTATTCTTGATAACTTAATATTGAGACTTATTGACAATCTAACGGTCATAATCATTAAATCCCTAAGTTATGTTCTAATAATATTACTCGAGAGATAAATGACAATACCTTACATCCAGGACACTCTATAGCACCTTTGCCGCCACACGTTTGACAACTTTTTGTGGCCTGCACGTTATCATTCAACACGGCAAAATTAAATTATGAAACACACGAAAGCGAAGAGAATTATCAATCTTGTGCAACAGATATCTCATATTTAATCTTGCTGATAATCGGATCACAACAGTCAAATTCGAAAACTTAAAACAGATCGAAGTCAGAGAACATACAGTTTTAGGTGAGAATCCCCCAGATTTTGCTGCACAAATTCTGAATTTCCGCCGTCTCTGCTGTTCTCCAGTACTGTTCCGCGCGCTCAGATTGAACTGGGGACGAGTCAATAATGCTGGCGAAGTTATCCAGTTGGAACATATTGAAGTTTCGGCCATTACCCTTGGTCGAATTTTCTCCTACTTGGTTACTATTATAATTCTGCAGAGTTGTCTTTCATTCTTCAAAAAAAACGAAGCTGGCACAACTGGATAATGAGCTTATCACACCCACATATTCCTTTTGATGGTCCCCCGACTAACATACCCCTCTCTCTCTCTCTCTCCCCCCAAACAAACAAAGCTAAGTTAACCATTATCTTGTGTATATTCAACAATTAAATGTCTATTTGAATCGGCTCAAGCTCTATTAATTATCACCTAAAATCTTTTTTTCATTACTTTTTTTTCATTCGATGCCTTTTATGTTCTAAAGTCACCAGTTCTTTTTGCAAATTAAATAAAGTTATGTATATGGTTCGAGAGCGATAAATATAATGAACGATACGCAAGAAATGTTAAATAAAAGNTACTTGGTTACTATTATAATTCTGCAGAGTTGTCTTTCATTCCTCAAAAAAAACGAAGCTGGCACAACTGGATAATGAGCTTATCACACCCACATATTCCTTTTGATGGTCCCCCGACCAACATACCCCTCTCTCTCTCTCTCTCTCTCTCTCCCCCCAAACAAACAAAGCCATATTACTTTTTATCCCCACCTTAAAATTTATTTAGTTAACCAATTAAATGTCTATTTGAATCGGCTCAAGCTCTATTAATTATCACCTAAAATCATTTTTTCATTACTTTTTTTTTCATTCGACGCCTTTTATGTTCTAAAGTCACCAATTTTTTGTTGCAAACTAAATAAAGTTATGCATATGGTTCGAGAGCGATAAATATAATGAACGATACGCAAGAAATGTTAAATAAAAGNAAAAGTGAATGCTTATGTTCCGTCAAAAAATATGTTTGAATTAAAACAAATCAAAAATTATATTATTCTTGATAACTTAATGTTGAGACTTATTGACAATCTAACGGTCATAATCATTAAATCCCTAAGTTATGTTCTAATAATATTACTCGAGAGATAAATGACAATACCTTACATCCAGGACACTCTATAGCACCTTTGCCGCCACACGTTTGACAACTTTTTGTGGCCTGCACGTTATCATTCAACACGGCAAAATTAAATTATGAAACATACGAAAGCTAAGAGAATTATCAATCTTGTGCAACAGATATCTCATATTTAATCTTGCTCATAATCGGATCACAACAGTCAAATTCGAAAACTTAAAACAGATCGAAGTCAGAGAACATACAGTTTTAGGTGAGAATCCCCCAGATTTTGCTGCACAAATTCTGAATTTCCGCCGTCTCTGCTGTTCTCCAGTACTGTTCCGCGCGCTCAGATTGAACTGGGGACGAGTCAATAATGCTGGCGAAGTTATCCAGTTGGAACATATTGAAGTTTCGGCCATTACCCTTGGTCGAATTTTCTCCTACTTGGTTACTATTATAATTCTGCAGAGTTGTCTTTCATTCTTCAAAAAAAACGAAGCTGGCACAACTGGATAATGAGCTTATCACACCCACATATTCCTTTTGATGGTCCCCCGACTAACATACCCCTCTCTCTCTCTCTCTCCCCCCAAACAAACAAAGCTAAGTTAACCATTATCTTGTGTATATTCAACAATTAAATGTCTATTTGAATCGGCTCAAGCTCTATTAATTATCACCTAAAATCTTTTTTTCATTACTTTTTTTTCATTCGATGCCTTTTATGTTCTAAAGTCACCAGTTCTTTTTGCAAATTAAATAAAGTTATGTATATGGTTCGAGAGCGATAAATATAATGAACGATACGCAAGAAATGTTAAATAAAAGATAAACATGACAAGATATTTATGTTATATCATGACGTGACAGGACTTTATTAGCACTAGGCAATACATCACAATGATGCAATTGAATCACTTGCCAACAAATTAAAGACAACTCTGAGTTAACCAGTCAAGTAAGGCTCATGATTTACATAAAACATGTATCATTCTCAAAGCGAAAAGTGTGGTGTTGTGTCCGACTCGAGCCAATTCATGGAACACTGGTTAAACACCCCCCTTTCAATTCGAAGCCATCNAATGAAGTTGTACTAGTATAGATCTATTTGTGCTTTGATTTTGTAAAATAGATGGGATGAATAGGTTTCCTACTACCTTCTCAGCTGCAAAAAAACGATTCGAGAGATTCAATGTGGACGCCCAGGAAGCATGCATGGCTGCCTAAATTTGGTATATTACCATTGGATGCATTTTTTTTTTTTGATGATAAGATTTGTTAATCCCAAAATTGTTCACCATGGCAGATAGCCAGAGTTGTGACTTGGTGATCGGCGAGAGGGTTTCTACAAAAGAAGTCGAGGACCGGAGGGACTCTGGTGGTTGACTTTCCGATGATAAATTCAAAAAGGAATGAATGAAGAAAACTATGTTTAGCTCAGAGAAGTAAACTTACTTGGATCATATTTAGCTTGGACTTTTTATAGGTCAAGAGATTGGACCGTTGAAAATCCTTACTTGCTTATTTGAATGATGCGGGCACCAAAAGTGTAACAAATGTGGTACATGTTAGCGTGGATATCTCGACTGGTTTGAATTAGTCAAGGTGTGCGGAGCTAGGGTGAATTTGAGTTGGGATGCTGGCGACCAAGGAGCTAAGGTTCTTTTCTAGCCATGGAGCTCATCCTCGGAGCTAAGCTCGTGTGATGAGCTTGTGTCTAATTTATCATTATTAATTGCCCCTTAATTCATATAAGTGAGTTGCACGTGCTATGAATTTAATGAATCTGCCTGTTAGCGTCTGGGAAAGTAGGAACGGCAGTCGTGCATATGCAATCGCCAAAGAGCCATTGTGGGGCCAATGTATAAAACCTTCTCCCTCTATGCCTTCCGGCACATCTTTGACAGCTCTAAGAAGTATGGTACGCCCTTCCTTTTTCATCTTTATCTTTTTTCGTCTCTTTGTTTTATTGTAACTCCTCATCTTGGAGCATATAGGTTAGAGTCATACATNTTATGAAGTTGTACTAGTATAGATCTATTTGTGCTTTGATTTTGTAAAATAGATGGGATGAATAGGTTTCCTACTATCTTCTCAGCTGCAAAAAAACGATTCGAGAGATTCAATGTGGATGCCCAGGAAGCATGCATGGCTGCCTAAATTTGGTATATTACCATTGGATGCATTTTTTTTTTGATGATAAGATTTGTTAATCCCAAAATTGTTCACCATGGCAGATAGCCAGAGTTGTGACTTGGTGATCGGCGAGAGGGTTTCTACAAAAGAAGTCGAGGACCGGAGGGACTCTGGTGGTTGACTTTCCGATGATAAATTCAAAAAGGAATGAATGAAGAAAACTATGTTTAGCTCAGAGAAGTAAACTTACTTGGATCATATTTAGCTTGGACTTTTTATAGGTCAAGAGATTGGACCGTTGAAAATCCTTACTTGCTTATTTGAATGATGCGGGCACCAAAAGTGTAACAAATGTGGTACATGTTAGCGTGGATATCTCGACTGGTTTGAATTAGTCAAGGTGTGCGGAGCTAGGGTGAATTTGAGTTGGGATGCTGGCGACCAAGGAGCTAAGGTTCTTTTCTAGCCATGGAGCTCATCCTCGGAGCTAAGCTCGTGTGATGAGCTTGTGTCTAATTTATCATTATTAATTGCCCCTTAATTCATATAAGTGAGTTGCACGTGCTATGAATTTAATGAATATGCCTGTTAGCGTCTGGGAAAGTAGGAACGGCAGTCGTGCATATGCAATCGCCAAAGAGCCATTGTGGGGCCAGTGTATAAAACCTTCTCCCTCTATGCCTTCCGGCACATCTTTGACAGCTCTAAGAAGTATGGTACGCCCTTCCTTCTTCATCTTTATCTTTTTTCGTCTCTTTGTTTTATTGTAACTCCTCATCTTGGAGCATATAGGTTAGAGTCATACATTTTAGTTTCATTTTTATCACTTTTGTTTTCGTCGGTGGAAGGACTCCAACCTTGGTTATTATGAATATTTTGTGGATAGGTCTATTTGAGCTTGGCTTGAATCTGTGCTCGATCTGCCTTTATTTGATTATCAATATCCCTAATCACCCCCTTCCACCGAATTTGTACATCAATCACCGTCGTTTCCTTATTATGGTAATTGATTCTAGGCACACACCCTCTGAGAATACTCCGAAATTAGTGTCACTAGTTGATGCAACCAACAAGGACTCCAATTCTATTTTGGAGATTGGCTCATCGAATCTTAAGGTCATTGGGGGCAAAAAACTACCATAATTGCCTAGATGAGGACGTTATTCAAGAAATTAGGGTTTTATATCAAATCTCTAAATATGTGCGCCTTAGGGTTCCTTCCGCTAACGAAATCGCCAATTCTTTTGGCCTCAATGAAGNGATGTGGTACATGTTAGCGTGGATATCTCGACTGGTTTGAATTAGTCAAGATGTGCGGAGCTAGGGTGAATTTGAGTTGGGATGCTGGCGACCAAGGAGCTAAGGTTCTTTTCTAGCCATGGAGCTCATCCTCGGAGCTAAGCTCGTGTGATGAGCTCGTGTCTAATTTATCATTATTAATTGCCCCTTAATTCATATAAGTGAGTTGCACGTGCTATGAATTTAATGAATCTGCCTGTTAGCGTCTGGGAAAGTAGGAACGGCAGTCGTGCATATGCAATCGCCAAAGAGCCATTGTGGGGCCAATGTATAAAACCTTCTCCCTCTATGCCTTCCGGCACATCTTTGACAGCTCTAAGAAGTATGGTACGCCCTTCCTTTTTCATCTTTATCTTTTTTCGTCTCTTTGTTTTATTGTAACTCCTCATCTTGGAGCATATAGGTTAGAGTCATACATTTTAGTTTCATTTTTATCACTTTTGTTTTCGTCGGTGGAAGGACTCCAACCTTGGTTATTATGAATATTTTGTGGATAGGTCTATTTGAGCTTGGCTTGAATCTGTGCTCGATCTGCCTTTATTTGATTATCAATATCCCTAATCACCCCCTTCCACCGAATTTGTACATCAATCACCGTCGTTTCCTTATTATGGTAATTGATTCTAGGCACACACCCTCTGAGAATACTCCGAAATTAGTGTCACTAGTTGATGCAACCAACAAGGACTCCAATTCTATTTTGGAGATTGGCTCATCGAATCTTAAGGTCATTGGGGGCAAAAAACTACCATAATTGCCTAGATGAGGACGTTATTCAAGAAATTAGGGTTTTATATCAAATCTCTAAATATGTGCGCCTTAGGGTTCCTTCCGCTAACGAAATCGCCAATTCTTTTGGCCTCAATGAAGTTTATTTCTACGAGTCCGTCTTCGAGGCTAGGCTCCGTTTTCCTATGTGGCGCCCTGCCTTTAAAAGCCAATTATTAGGTCTTTGAAAAATTTGGGACCTAAAATCCATGTTTTTTTTAATGCTGTTGGATTGGCCTTGCTTTTACCCCCTAACATCTTTTAAATACANTGTGTCTAATTTATCATTATTAATTGCCCCTTAATTCATATAAGTGAGTTGCACGTGCTATGAATTTAATGAATATGCCTGTTAGCGTCTGGGAAAGTAGGAACGACAGTCGTGCATATGCAATCGCCAAAGAGCCATTGTGGGGCCAGTGTATAAAACCTTCTCCCTCTATGCCTTCCGGCACATCTTTGACAGCTCTAAGAAGTATGGTACGCCCTTCCTTCTTCATCTTTATCTTTTTTTGTCTCTTTGTTTTATTGTAACTCCTCATCTTGGAGCATATAGGTTAGAGTCATACATTTTAGTTTCATTTTTATCACTTTTGTTTTCGTCGGTGGAAGGACTCCAACCTTGGTTATTATGAATATTTTGTGGATAGGTCTATTTGAGCTTGGCTTGAATCTGTGCTCGATCTGCCTTTATTTGATTATCAATATCCCTAATCACCCCCTTCCACCGAATTTGTACATCAAAATCTCTAAATCTGTGCGCCTTAGGGTTCCTTCCGCTAACGAAATCGCCAATTCTTTTGGCCTCAATGAAGTTTATTTCTACGAGTCCGTCTTCGAGGCTAGGCTCCGTTTTCCAATGTGGCGCCCTGCCTTTAAAAGCCAATTCTTAGGTCTTTTAAAAATTTGGGACCTAAAATCCATGTTTTTTTTAATGCTGTTGGATTGGCCTTGCTTTTACCCCCTAACATCTTTTAAATACACAAAATAGCATACATGTGAATAAATATAGCATAAATTTCTAAATGGTCATAAATGTGCAACACTTCTAATTGAATAATTCACTCCTATTGTACATGACTTTTCACATGATCATTTACCGGGGACTTTTCATATGATCAATTTTGCCACTTTACTTAACAGAGTACATAAATACAACATTCTTGTTCAACTTGCTCAAGATGTAACTGATTTAAATTGTAGGCTTTCCTCCTTCTAAAAACAAATCTATAATGAATAGACCCACAACTAATAGAAAATTTAATAATTTCATGTTTCATGTCTTTTATATTCTTACTTCTATCAAGTATATATACCTGTCTAACACACTCGACTGCTCTACAACAAGATTGCATTCTCTTTATATGTGTGTATGCATAAATGCATTTCCATGTATGTGCGTGTGTGTATATTACTTGATTTAGGTTTGAAAACTCTGTTGTTCAGGTGATAACATTTTAGAGGGAGATCTGACCACAGTATAGTTTTCTCCTCCAACCCTCCTAAGTTCTTGTCCTACCTGATGCTCCTGCTGTAGAGTTTGGAGGGCTGAAGGTTTCTCCCTTACAGCTCTCACAATGGCTTGACCGTTTGGGCTGAAAAAAAATTGTAAATTGAAGTTATCGAATAATGCCTCTGAATGTTCTTGTGAATGCCATTGGAACCTTTGGCATGATATGTTTAGAATACACATTTATTAACTATGACCCCTTAAATAAATCAAGGAGGAGATTAAGAGTATTTTTGTATTTTATCTAATCTACTTCATTTTATTTTTTACGAAAATGTATTTCTAAGCACAATGATAATTGTATTATTGAATTAATGTTTTAGTGTTTTTCCTGACTATCAAAAATTTAAAGCTAGAAATTTTCGCTAATGAATACTAAGATGTGGGAGCCAATTACCTTACATTCTGATGGGTTAAGCCCAAATAGTCCAATTTATGTGTTAAAGTCCAACCCGAGGAGCCCAACCTCATTTTGATTCCACCAAGCCCAAGACAGTCCAAGGCCGGTTAAACTTCTTGCTTAGCACGTCACCAAGAGGAGAGCACGGGAAGCTTATCTACACCGCCTTAAGGAACAGTCCAAATCCACCAAGTCCAAGACAGCCCAAGGCCGGTTAGACTTCTTGCTTAGCACGTCACCAAGAGGAGAGCACGGGAAGCTTATCCACACCACCTTAAGGAACAGTCCAAATCCACCAAGTCCAAGACAGCCCAAGGCCGGTTAGACTTCTTGCTTAGCACGTCACCAAGAGGAGAGCACGGGAAGCTTATCCACACCACCTTAAGGAACAGTCCAAATCCACCAAGTCCAAGACAGCCCAAGGCCGGTTAGACTTCTTGCTTAGCACGTCACCAAGAGGAGAGCACGGGAAGCTTATCCACACCACCTTAAGGAACAGTCCAAATCCACCAAGTCCAAGACAGCCCAAGGCCGGTTAGACTTCTTGCTTAGCACGTCACCAAGAGGAGAGCACGGGAAGCTTATCCACACCACCGAAGGAAGGAAACGGTCCAATCTTTGACCACGTTTCATGAAGAGCTCCCCAACCTCTTCCTTCCGTTGAGGATAAGTCGTGATCTCCACCAAAAATAATCTCTAAGCTGCGATAAAGAAACCTTGAGGATATGTCATGATCTCCACAAGAATGATCTCTTATCTACTATAAAATGACTCTAATCTGGGAGAGGAAGGAGGCATGCTCATCAGAGACTTACAGAAGACGAACCGACTATCGAAGATTATTATTTTCTTTGATTCTCCATTCCCCCTCTCAAAGCTTGTATCTTCATTCTCCATACCTTTGAATCAATAAAATACCCGGCGACTGNTTTGTATTTTATCTAATCTACTTCATTTTATTTTTTACGAAAATGTATTTCTAAGCACAATGATAATTGTATTATTGAATTAATGTTTTAGTGTTTTTCCTGACTATCAAAAATTTAAAGCTAGAAATTTTCGCTAATGAATACTAAGATGTGGGAGCCAATTACCTTACATTCAATTCTGTCATGTTCAAATTCAGAAGAACATAACTATTAGATATTGGGTTTGGGTGATGGACTCAAATCGGGGGCTTATGANATTCAATTCTGTCATGTTCAAATTCAGAACATAACTATTAGATATTGGGTTTGGGTGATGGACTCAAATCGGGGGCTTATGATGGGTTGACCCAAATTAAAGTGAATTTAATCCCTACATAACGTTAAAAGATTTTTGTATTGTGGAAATACAATGTTGATTTGTTTTGTATAACAACATTATATTATTGGCACAATCAAAGAAAATACGATTTTTCAGATTTTAAAATACATGAAACATCCTTCAAAAATTTCAAAATTAAAGTGAATTTAATCCTAAGCTTTCGCAATAATCAGGATTGTTTTATCTTTGTTTCTAGAGACGAAATATTTAGTATGGTTTTTGATTATTCTTATGTTGTGCCTGAACAATTGGAATATAGGTAGCTTCAAGCGCATACCACTTCAACGCTCGAAGGTTTTGTAAATTCATTTGTGTTAAGCATTAATAGAATTGCAGATAATTTGGACTGTCATTGGACAGAAGGAGTATGTGATGTATATTAGCCACAAGAAGAGAGGACCAACAATTTAAAAATTATCTTTGTTTCTCTATATGTTTGTGTACATTTGAGCATGTTAACGAGGGTTTGGTAGCGAATACTTGATGCAGTGATATTTATTGTTTACAATTATTTCATTTATGGAAGAGTAATGTTATAAAATTCAAATAAAACTCAAAGAGTTATAATCCAAATACATATCATTCATTGAATAAGTGAGTTTCATCAAATTTTTTAATGGGGTCCATTCATTTCATATTCATCTAAGGGATGATATACATTTGAGTTTTAATTTTTTAGTTTTATCAGTGTTATATTGCATTTTTCTCTATGAAAATAGTGACGGACACACATTTAGCTTTAGATAGATATGACATAGGCCCATTTCTTTGAAGATGAAGATTTAAATAATGGATTATTTTTATTTTTTACTTTGATAATGTATGATATTTGAAAGTTACAATTATCCACGTGTAAAAAGTTAAGGGGGTAAAGTGAAACTAGCCAAAACCACAACGGGGTAAAAGGTAATTACCCCAAATTAAAAGTCCAGTAAAATTGCAGAAAGCTTCTGGTCGAACCTAATCTCCCGGCAGTTTCACCAAGCACTCCCTGGAAATTTTTCTACCAACGACAGAATTCAAGTACCTTGTCTTAAAATCAATCTATCAGCAATTCACCTGATTTCAGAGACCAAAAACCCTCGGTGTTCAATGGCAAAGCCCGAGAATTCTAAGTCCAATTCTTCAAATCTCCCTCCTTTCGTCCAGTCCTCCGCCAAAATACACCCAACAAATGACCCAGAATCTGACCCCAATTCGTATTCCCTCGAAAAATTCCGTCTATACGAAACCAGAGCGGTAAGGGCCAAGAACATTCCCATCGTTTTTCTAGTAACAAAACAGAGTATTTTTGTGAATTTAGTTTACCCTTTTGTGCTTTTGAACTTTCTTTTTTTTTTTTTTGTGGTTCACGTCTTTTTTTTTTTTTGTAATTATCGAATTACTCGTGATCCCAGCAGAAAATTTCAGTGCAATCTTTTATCCTTTTGTTCAATTTTCCTTGTTTTTTTTTTGCTACGGGTTAGATCCTTTCTCAATTTTCTCATTAACCAGACAGATTTTTTCAGTGAAATTACTGACCCTTTTTCTGAATTTTACATGTTTGTTTTTCCTCTGTGTAACAGAAGACCAATGTATCTTTCTGTTAATTTTCCCATTTACGTCTTTTGAGTTCTCTCTGAGTTAAGGGGACCAAACCATTAATGCATTTATTGACCATTTTCTTAGGCCTTGTGTGTGTTTTTGTGTTCTTTATGATGTTTAGAGGACCAAAAAAATTGTTGTTTTTCCCTTAACTCATGGCAAACCGAGAAATCACTATATCTATTGATTCCTAGGGTGAATTGATCTAATTTTGAGTTTGTGTGTGAAGCGGTATTACTTAATTGGGAGTGATCGGAACAAAAGGTTCTTCAGAGTGTTAAAAATTGACCGAATGGAACCATCTGATCTCAATATCAGCGAAGACCCCGTGGTGTATTTGCCGCAGGAAGTCAAGAGCTTGCTGCAGAGGGTGGCCGAGGGTAATAGAGCTACTGGAGGGCTGAATTTTATAGCAAAAGTCTATGGCATTGCTGGTTAGTTTTTCTAAATTGACGGTTACTTGGGTTACTTATAAGTTATATTCTACAGTTTCTAGAGGAATTATGTCATTTGCATTTATGCGAATTGGGGCTTGGCATTTTTGGGTTCTTGTTGGAATTATGTTTGATTGCCTTTTGGGTTACATTTTATATTTCGGATTGAGGAATTTTTGTCTTTGTTTTTGTTCAGTTAGGGGATTATATATCTTGGGTTTCATTGGAATTGTGTCTGGCCATTTTAGTGCACATCTTTGCTCAATTGGGCACTTTGAGATGTGAAAAGAAGTTATTGGAACTGGGTTTAAAGTCTGACGTAGGTTTCATTGTTTCTTTTTTTTTTTTTTTTTCTGAATGTTTCAGGTTGTATCAATTTTTTGGAGTCATATTATTTGATATTGGTAACAAAACGGAGGCAAATCGGAAGTATATGTGGTCATGCTATATATTGTATTGATGAGAGCCAAATAATTACAATTCCGCATGTCTCTGTTCAAACTGATGTTGCTCATTCGAAAACTGAGCTGAGGTAATATCTTTCTTTTTTCCTTGGATTGTAAAATCTGTGTATGCTTAAATTTGTGGTTTGAAAACTTAAGTCATGCGTTCTAGCATTTCCCTTTTTTCTTGATCACTCTTTGAGTTTTGTTAAGTTCACACGTCAAGAATAATTGCCTATGGGGCCAAATAATGTCTATGTGTAAGTAGTAGCAAAGAAATTTCTCGTATTCAAGGAGTAATGCACATTTGTTATCTTTTTGTCTATACGTATAAACATATAACTCCATTTACAGGTGAAATTCGAAATATTTGTGTAGCTAAGGTGCTTCAGTCAGAGGTACTTAGAGATGGTAGCCCTTTTACGAGATCTGGTAGCATTACCATGAGTGTGAACTTGACATCTGCTTGTACAATTTTAGTACTGCATGTTGAACAATATTTCTTTTCTTATCTATGCCAGTCCTAGTCGTTGCATTTTGGTCATTTCCCCGTTTTCCAAGAAACACATTATGGTTCTATGTTTTTTTGTTATTAACTCTAACAAAACACTGTTGCATTTTTCATCTCCAAAGTTCCCGGTTCTGACTTTGGTCCTTAACCCCCTTTTTTTTTTTGTCAATTTTATCTTTTACTTTTCATAAAGTATGAGTTCAGTACACTATTTCATTTGTATAAGTAGTGGTTGTCAAAATTTTGATGACATGTGGCATTTTAAGTCAAGTGATAAAAGCTACTAATTGGTTCTTATCAAAAAAGAAAGTAATTGATTGGTTGAGTCCAATCAATAATGGTTGTTGAAATTGTCATTTTTTTCAATTTGTTTTAATTAAAGTCATTGGCTTTATGAAAGTTGGAGGATGGGATTGACAACAATTAATGGTCTATTTGGTTTGTGTGTACAAAACATTTTTTTGTTCTCAAAACACAAAAAATAAGGAAAATTTGTTTGTTTAAGTTTTTCAATGTCTAATTTTCAAAAACAAAAGTAGGAGTTGAGATAGAGTTTTAGAAAACAAGTGGGGGGTGTTTTGGCCAAATTTGAGAACAAATTTGGAAAACACGGGAAACGGCAAAACGCAAGTCCAATTAAACATCGAATCTCCTTGGCTACAAAATATACCTTTATTATATAAAGCCTAAAACCCCCCAATTTTTCTCCTCCCCAAATCAACGAACGCATGTCGCCTTCTCCTTCTTCAGAGCACGGACGAAGACGCCGTTTGCTTTCTCCTTCTCCTTCTTCACAGTACCGACGAAGGCCGAAGGTCGACAACGAACGGCTGTCGCCTTCTCTCTCTCTCATAAGAATCTGTATGAGCTTTACGGATCTGATTTTTACAAGATCTGCAAAACCATATTTGGTTTTAAAAAATCTGTAAAACCAGATTTGGTTTTAATAGAATTGGGTACCAATTTTTTTTGGTTATTTATTATTATTTTGGTATTGTGTCTGTGTTCTTGGGATCTGACAAAAAACTAAAAAAAAAAAGATCTGTGACGAATTGAGAAGAAACTAATGAATTGAAACTAGATCAGTGATGAATTGAGAAGAAAAAAATCAGATTTGTGGTGAATTGAAAAAAATTAGATATGTGATGATTGAGAAACATTTTTTGGTATTTTATTTGGTTAATTGAGAAGAAATTAAAGTTGGGTATAATATGATTTGAACCAAGCTTCTTTTGGTTATTCGGGTTACTGTTTTCATTATTTTTTGGGTTATTGTCCAAACAAGTTTTATTGTTTTCTGTTCCTTAGAACTGTTTTTGAAATCATATAACTAAACAAGTTCTAAGGCACAAAAAATATTAAAACACATTTTTTTAAAACTCTTCCTAAAAATTATTTTCAGATAATGTTTTTTAAGATGCAAACCAAACAGGGCCTAAGGTTTTACCAAAGAAGAATTGTTGTAGACTGAGTCTGGAAAGTTTAATTAAACCTAAAGCTAATACAATACAATTTTTTTATTTTTTAGGTATTTTTTTATTTCGTTTTACACTGTTAAATTGGGCAATGGCAATTTTGTTGAGGTCCTTAAAAATGATGAACATGTGAGGATTTAAATAGAGTGTGCTTAAAAAATTGTCTAGATTCTAGACAAGATCTTACAATTTGGAACTTACTAGATTCTATTCCTTATTTCCAGGGGATTAGCTAACTTGGACACGTTAATCATCCATCGCTTTTGTTGTCATTACTATGATATGTAATAGCAAGTTGTAATATTGTCATAGTTTTGCAATTTTTAGCTGATTTTGAACATAAGGTTACAGGCTACCTGGGCAAAATTTGTTTATCAGGGACCCTTAGAACAAGTACAAGCCCAGAAAATCAAAACTTTTCATGTAAAATTCAAGTCTAGTTTGTTCTTAAGCATCTTCATGGTTTAAATGACCTTTCTTCTGTATGAGATCCAATTGTTCCACATAAATTATACTATATAACCTTTGGATTTTATTTGTTTTAGGTTTAAAAGTTTGAGCTATTATACAAACTCAAATTGCTTTTTTCCTTTCCGCATTCTTGTAATTCATCTTCACCATTGCAACAAGGTAAGGGTGTTCATGCTACAACTTCACCCGCCTAAATGGAGGGTGCTCACTGGGTGAAATAGGTATTATGTTGTCTAGTTGGACTCCTTAGCACCAACATCATAAGTTATATGGATGAATAATTTGAAGTAGTTAATAAGATGGATGATAGAGGAGATATTATATTGGAATCTGAATCTCACACTTATGAAAGTGTTTTGAAGGCTAATCATTTAAAATCTGAGAGAGATAGGCCCATTCCTCTATCTTTGCTCACATTTTAGAAGTACTTTTGGAGTCCATAATTGCTAAAAGATATTCTCATGATATCTGCTATTCGTCATCCCCCAACCATGTAATAAAATTTTGTGTAGTTTTACGAGGATTGGCGATCAAAATCTTTTTGTAGGCCAACCTTTAATTGAGATATGAGTCGATACTTTAAACACATAGCTCATTTGACTTGTGGTTGACTGAGAGACATCTTGGCTGAGTCGTTCGAGTCATCATTCTGTGGTGTTTCGATATCGTTCCGCGATGTCGTGGTATTGTTCTGTGATGCTGTGACATGGCATGAATCTTTCACTTTTCAGGTTCTTGTTCTATATAGCATTTTGTACGTATCATACCCTTCCACGACGTGGTGACTAATGTGTATCACTGTGCTCCCAATTGATAGCTGATATTGTGTCCTTGAACCATTGGTGTGGTTGGAGCAAGGATCGAAATTTCGTTTCGAAGTACCGTTTCGGTCATCTAAATTTCCGAAACGTTTCGGAAACGTTTCGGAAATGCAATGGAAACGCGGAAAAAATATGGAAACGCGTGGAAACACAAATACAATCCATTAATCTATATCTATATCTATAAACATAAGCTAAATAATTGATTAATTCAACATATTTATTGACTTAACATCCATTTATAGAAGAACAAATTTAAATTGGAGGGAAAAAAAAACTTGACATGAGGCAAAAATCACTAAAATTAGTTTTAAACACTTAAATTTTTATCAAATAAACACATTTTTATATAATATTAAGATCTCATAATACACATGAAATGCTAATGAGTACANACTCTTGATAAGGTGTTGCAAGCTTTGATAATTGGCAATGGAGATAAGCTCCAAGTCAAATTTTGTGACAATGTTTTTTTTCCTCACGAATCTTAATCTATGGTTAAGGGTAGTTTGATTTGCATTTCCTGTTCTTCTTGGTGATGATGATGTTGAGAGGAGATGGAGTGCCTTTTCTCATTATTTTGAAGCATGATGTAGGAGTTGTTGAGATAGATTAAGGATTTCTCGTTTTAGCCTGGTATAAAGTTTAAATATAGTTGGTGAAGGAAATGACTCTTAGATTAAGAAAGGAGTGGGCGGGTTAGTTTCAAGCCTTAAAATGTTTTTGGAAGAGATAGGCGGATTATGGATGGAGGTTGATGCACTTTGATAATGTTGATCCTAGATATAAGAGGTATGCTGAAAGGAAAAATTTTGACTCAGTGTTGGGGAGAAAAAATGAATTTCATTATGTTCATTTTCCATCTTGAAGAATGGTTTCTTGGAAGTCTTTGAGTTCATGAGGTTAGAAACAGGGGATTGCTTGTTCGTTTGCCTTTCGATACATGGAGGCTTTGAGCCGTATATGGAGGATGCTGCTGGGACGGTGGTATCATCCTGGTAAAACCATTAGCTTTAGTGGATGGGAGGCAAGGGTCCAAATTTCATTTCGGCATAGTTTCGGTCAATTCGGAAACGGAAACGTTTTGGAATATGTTAGGAGTAGGATGGAAACAGAGGAAAATTTAGAAACTTGTTTTCAAAATATAGATCTAATGTATTGAAATATGTTGAAACATCTTGAAATACCTCAAAATATATGAATTTCGATATTCAATCACTGATTCACTTTGATTTGCCCACTGAAATGAGATTTTTGTTTCACGGATGCTCGAGGTTCTATTGAGATTTTGAGTGCTTGTGAAAAAAAAGAAGTGTTTTGAAAGGATTTAAGGTGAAAGTTGGGAAGCCGGAGTAGCTAGGCCGGCCAATCAGATATTGGGGCCTAGCCGTAAATTTTAGTTGGGGCCTTTTAGAACTTGATCTATCTACTTAAGTTTTGCTAATAAATTCTTTCAACTGATAATATGGACAATCCACAATTTTTGTTGTGATACAGTTGATCATAAGTATGATTGATGAGTTTTAATTTTGAAATACTTCTTTTGCAGAAAAATTGTAATGGATATCATCTATTTTTTCTTTTTTGTTTTTACATTTTCTGTATCTAAAGTCATATTTTCTATTTGAGCATTTTTTGTCTTCCAAATCATGTAATGGTCCTAATCTTCAAAATATAATAAAAACTTGAATTAATTAAATCACATCAACTGAAATATAAAATAAGCAATGTACATCAACTAAAGGAAGAAAGCAATAATTTTTGCAATTGGTTCAATATCAAGATTTGATAGAGACAAAAAATGGAAGAAACAGT